AGGAATTGAGAGAATGAAGCTGTCACAAATTTGTCTGCATCTAGGTCCTAAGCTGCTGAGACAGTTGACTTTTCAGATCCTCTCTTCTGTAATTGCATGAGTAGCCATCTCCATTTCATGGCGAATTAGTATCCCAGCATTTAATTTCCTATTTCAAGGAAAATGTTTCAAGCTTTAATGTACTCTGGAAATTTATGGAATATATTTAATTAATATTATCAGTATTAATAATGAGTATTTATTAATACATTAGATATCATGGAATCTTTCACTTTCAAGAGACAACTACTGTATGAAAGAAAAAAGTAACCCGAACTGGAAACAAGGACAGCTATGCACACTTATTAGAGAGACCCTGGGAAAGTCACTTCATGTTTCTGGATCTCAGAACTCTGCATAGCTGAAATGAAGAGATTAGAAGTGTTTACTTCTAATTCTCCTTCCAGCTCTAATAAGATGAACTTCTAATGAACGGTCTAGAAAAGAATTCATTAGCACCGATCTGACAATAATCTAGATGTTGGGTCCTGTGACAATCCACCAGAAAGTCTCAGCCACAACCCATCCTCAGTCTGACTCCTGGATGGGTCTTCTGTCTCTCTACATTGTTTCAGCATAAGCACATGTGATCTGGGAAGCCTAAGAAAAGCCAAAGAAGTCTAGTGAGTGAAAGCTGTCACTCTATTCAGAAAATAAACTGAAGCTAGGTACCTCTTGATACCTCTCTACCCCATCCCAACTTCCAAACTCTCTGGGTTTATGGGCAATAGGTATTTGTAATTTGTTTCCACTTTGTCTTCTCTTCACTGTTCATAACTGAATCCCTAGTTTTTTATGACTTGATTCCATGTCTTAGAAAACAACCCCAGTTTGTTTTTTATCTTGTCTTATCTCATTTGGGGCCCACAAGCCTTTCTAGTATGTGGTTACCCTGAAAGCATTCACCACTGTTACTATGACCACAGGCTTTCCTGTTTTTCTACCTGCTAAACATGCACTGTGGCAAGTTAGGAGTGAGTGTTATGTATCCCCTGTACCTGGTAGGGACACAATAGAGGTATATTAAATTGGGTTTGTTTATGTGGACTCTGCCTGTGGAGATGCTAAGAGAGCTTTGCTGTTACCATTAACTAAGACCCTTTTATGTAGCCTTTTAGGGCTTATGTGTGAAACAGTGTCCTCAGAGAAAGCATCAGAAGGTAAAATAGCTGTTCCCATGTTTCCAGTTAATTAGTTTGCCTTATTAAATTTCTTTTACAATTTTGGGATATGGAAGTCACCTTCATTTTCTGCTATAGCTTTCATAGAAAGTTATTTTGTGCTCCTAAACAGCTGCTGCTCTGCAGGAGGCCTGCCTTTATTTTATCAGGAGCAGGCTTTTTGCACAGGCTGCCTAATGTCTAGAAATGGAAGAGGCCCCAGAGGAGGCAGGGTTACCATAGGTTCATCCAGTATGCCTTTATGTAATTCTTTCATATTGCATCTAGTAGTGAACCCCATGTGTACCTGCCATCAAAACTGTGGGCAATTGAAAGGAAGTATAGGAGAATGAAAATATGGCTTATTTGGAAAACCATGTTTTGTAAATGTTGTGAAGGTGTGTCATATTGCAGGCAAATTTGCTGTACTGTTATTTATGATAACAAAGGACAGTAAAAGGAATGTTCAGTAATGTTATCCAGATAAAATATAACTGTCCATATAAAGGAATACTATGCAACCATTAATGAAGTAGCATTATGTGTTATAATGTAGATTTAATATTGAAGGGATGAAAATAGCAAGAATATCTATCATGCTTCCATTTATTGTCCTTAGGGAAAAAACAACAACAGCCATAAATACAATGTATATGGATGGATTTGTTCTGGAAGGATGTATACAAAACCACCACTAGTTCTTGTTTCTGAGCAGAAGGGCTAAGCAACCAGGATGGGAAGGACATTTACATTTTATTTTGCCTTTCTTTGTTAGGAAAAAAAAACTGTGTTATTTACTGTAATCACTTTTCAGAAAAGAAACTCTGGGTTTTTTTTTAAAGAGAATTCAGTGACTTGAAAGCTGATCAAGGTGGGAGCATTGTTTTATGTTTAAGTTGTTTATTTCATAAGTCATCAATGAACTGTTCCCTAGCAGGGGCTCATGTGGGTTCTGAGATGCACATGATTTCAGGTAGCAGTGAATGGCTTGAAGGTGAGGGTCGGAGTGGGAATGATGGAGACCCACCAGGATGGAAGGTGTTGAGAAGGTAACATTGGAGGTGACCACCAAATGATGACAAGCCAGTGCTGTGTGGGGGAATCAGAGTGGAGCAACAGAATTCTAGGCAGAAGGAGAACAGGTTGGGGGTCATTTGGGGAAACTCCAGAAAGGAGGCAGGCTCATATTCCATGTACAGATTGAACAGAAGCTACATAGTGCCGTGCAGTTCTTGGGATGAAGACAGCCCTGGCTGGAGAAGCCAATAGTATTGGGAAGTAGTGAGGACTAAGTTTAGGTTGGGAGGATAAAGCCAGAACTCCAAGGGCCCTGAGTGCTAGTGATAACTGGGCACTTCTCAGACACCTGTTGCAGATGTGCTCAAGATGCTAAGACATCATTTGCTGTCAGTCCTTGGACTGCTGTCGGCAATAACAGACTTCTTTCATTCTGACCAGATACAGATGAGTGTTCTGGACCCGAGTACAGGGAAAAGGGACCAAGGAAGATATTTTTCTCCCTGGTTTGCAGAAAGGTTAATTAAGGCTTAAAAGTAAAGGGCAGTACACACAGCCAGACTATGCAGAAGATGATGTGCTCTGATGTGTGTAGCATTACATGAGGATGCTGGACTGTCTTCATGTGCAGTGGGGATTGTACTGCATAACTTATCAGAGTGGTCAAGTTGAGACTTAAATGAACTGTTAATTTATTTAAAGTTTTAGGTGTTTACAGCTGGAAGTAGCTACTGGTAATGACAGTCTAAGGCTAATACTAGTGAGCTGGTTAACCTTCCAGCCATGAAATTGTCCATCTCCACATATGTTACCATGTGGTTCTTGTGCTTTTGTAATTAAACCATTTATGTAGAAGAAATAAAATTAAGTGCATGAGGCAATGTCTTCTAACTCCTTATGGTGACTGGCAAATATCCATTGGCTATTTGGTTCTGTTAGACCACATTGAGGCAGTCTTTCATAACAGAACTTTATGAACCTTATTAGCTCTGCAGTGCCTTGATGATTCTCCTTCCAGTTAGATTTCCTTTGGTTAGAGATATTTGCTTATGAATTCCTCATGTGCTCTTGTTAGAATTATATATTACCATAATTTAGCATTAAATTATCAACTGTCATACTGTTATAGTGCACCACTTTTATGTATTTTAAATTTATTTTATTCCAAAAGCCAGTCATTCAGTAGCTTTTACCTGATATGAGAACAAAGTACACCCCATGGTAGACCAAGGGATGTCAAACTGAACTGTATGTACCTTTAATGGACAGGACAGCCCCCAAGATCTTCTAAAACCTTATTTTTCTGTTATTATTTTCAGTGAAATTCCACCCAAAGACAAAGTATCTTTGTCTTGTTCTAGCATTGCTGAAGTCCCAAGTGCTTCAAAGACAGGAAATGGAAACTGAAGGAGTAGAAGGAGGTGGGAGAAAGCCCTCCTGGCATAAGGGTAAAACAAACCCAAAGCTGAAGCATATCCTTTACCTGGGTCTGTTCCCAGGGGAGGAAAGTGGGCCAAATACATTACACCGTGCCCCAGTGCCAGCACTCGGTGTGCTGTTCAGAGCTGTAGTCCTGAGTCCTCCTGGAAAAGTTCAGATGTGAGGGATGTGATGGGTAGATGAGGTACTTTTTTAGTGTTCGTGTAAAGTTTGGTCGTAGGTGAGTATCAAATTTATGTGGCTGGCTTTCTACCTCTTGGAGGGCGGACGAGTCCACCGTGGCAGTCTTGATTATTATTGATTATTGATTATTATTATTTTTGTCACATAAATTTTATTCTTAACATTTTCTTTATGAAGAATACATTGAATTTCAAAAATTCTCTCTGTAAAGAAGAACATGCTATAATTCAGAATGAAACTTAACTTTCTGTGTCAGGGACTAAGATAATCTTGTTTTCTTCTAGCACCCAACTCTAGCAATTCTTACTTACTCAGAAGGTGGCATGTCCCTATCTTCACCGATATGACATTTGTGGCTATTAGGAAAGCTGCTTGCTCCTTATCGATCTGGTTTGGCTTTATCGATCTCACTCTTGAGCTGTGTTTAAACTTACCATGTGCTAAACCCCCAATTATTTTCTCTTAACTTTTTAGTGTGATAGGGAAGTCACCAACCTCTTTCTTCAGCATTGGCTGTGTAATCTGACAATTCTTGTTTAAAATTCTTAGTTGTAGTTGTCTAAGATGATTTAATAGTAGGCTAGGAAATATTTAATTCTTGAGACTAGCAGTGCAATTTAAATTGTTAAATAAGTGTTTGGCCTGAAACAGTAAAGAAAGGAAAATTATCGATCACTGAGATGCCTTTGTGGCTACCATCTGGTCACTAGCCTGTAACTGAAGAGCCTTTTGACACTGAGTAGAGGGTTCCCCCCCCCTCCCCCACGCCTCCTTTGGAAATGTAGTTCCATCCATTCCCATCACACATGGTGCCTTGCAGACTACTTGAGACTTTTATTTGTGGTATCTCTGTTTTGCTGTTGATGTTAATGAGTTTCTGCACAATATCACAAGAGAAATGGTGTTGCTGTCTGGAATGTTAATGAATTGCTTCCCTGGCCATTTGCCATTTCTTCCAGCGTGTGAATATGGAGTGTGTGTGTGTGTGTGTGTGTGTGTGTGTGTGTGTGTGTGTGTGTAAAAGGGAGACGAGTAGCAGGGGTGGGATTGCATTTTTTTTTTCCCTCTTTGCAGCCAGTGACGTGAGCCGTGCCTGGAACAATCAGACTTGCTGCAAACAGGGTAGTTGAAGATGCTGGGGGAGGCAGCCTGGTGCTTCTGAAGCCAAGGCGGATCACAGCGCTCAGGAGCTGCTCAGGAGCTGCTCAGGCACAACCGGCCGAGCTCCTCCAGCGTCAGAGCCGTGTAACGGGTGGAAAGTGCCTTTTGATTTCTCCAAACCCCTTCCCTAGTGGACCTTCAAAATGATTGGCGTGAATAGTGTTCAGAGTGCCAGCAAGGTTCGAGTGAGGACCTCAGGTTCTGTGAAATACTCCCGGGAGGATTCTATCCGGCGGCAGTCCCACCGGTCAAAGTCTATGAAAATTTCCAACTCCTCAGAGTTTTCTGCTAAGGAGACCAAGGTAAAGAAACGGCGTGTTAAACCTTATTGACAGCTGAATGGTGGGATAACAATTTGCTATGGTCTCTGCCAGTCAGTGCAGTGACAGGCTGAGAAAGTAACTGGGAACAGAAAATGGCTCTTAAGACGATCAGGTGAGGTTGGGGAGAGGGCTTGTACCCGAAGTCCACATGTCTGGGGTGTGGGTCAGTTCTGCATAGAGCTAGTTAGTGGAAGAGAATTCAGCAGTGCTCCAGCCGAGATGAGTGTGGGGCGCTGGTGTTTGGCACATTGATCTTGTTTTCAGGTTTGGAAAGGTTGCCTTGACAAATGGCTTTTCAGTGCAGTGTATTTTTAGAACATTGGGAATATAGAGATATTGTTATGATTTTATCTTTCAGTGAGTTCCCTTTGCCTTCCCTCCCCCAGTCTCTTCCTCTTCTTCAGTCTGTGCAGCTGATGTACAACAGTAGCCCGGTCCTGTTGCACTACATTCCTGCCATGTTCCGCCCATAGATGTTATTGGGAGAGATGTTTCTTTCATGTTCCTTGTCCATATGTGTGCTGATGCCATGTTGTCCGTAAAGCACTTGTGTTTCTGCAGTTGTCTCAAGAGAATATAATCTTGGTTCGTGTGGAATGTGAAGGGAGTGATTACGTAGTGAAGTGGGCATTTACTACATGCAACATATTCTTGAGAATCTTCCCACCACCATCTGTGTGAGCAGGGTACTCAGAAACACTCCCACTCCACAGGTTTAAAAATGGAATAATGGAATCATAGGATCACAGAACTCCAAGGCTAGAAATGTGGATGATTATTATAACACAGATTCATAGACCTGAAAATCTACAGGAAAAGCTTCAGGAACTGGCTCTGTCAGGCCCACTCAGAGTGACACGAGGTTTTCACCCTCCCCTCTACCACTGCCCCCTCTCCTTCTCCTTCCCAGTACCCTTCCATTGGTGACATTTAATTATTGAAAGACTGTTGTAACAACAGCTTCCCCTCAAAATATGGCAGAGGAGATTTGGCAAAGTATCTTGTGACTTTAAGAAATATGTTGGCTTTCTATCCACCCACTTAGATTATGACACACAAAGTCTAACCCCATCAATCAGCAAAGTGTTTGACTCTGTTAAGTCTTCAGATGTGTCTTTCCTCCGTGTGTGTGTGTGTGTGTGTGTGTGTGTGTGTGTGTGTTTCTGCGTGCGTGCGTGCATGCGTGCGTGTATGCGTGCGCTGGAGGTTAAGAAAGAAACATGAGACTTCACAGTCTTGGGACCTGGATGGGAATGTATTGGCTCCTGCTGCAACTGTTAGGAGACCTCCACATGGTGTGATAGTCTCCCACTGAGGAAGACTCCAGAGGGTTATTACAGTGTCAAACAAATAAATGTAGGCATGTATGTGATTCCCAACATGGCTATCAAATTTGCTTCTACAAAGAGCACTAATTATCATCTCTGAATTTTGTTTTGTATGTCTTCAATATATATTAAACTTATAGTATGATCCAGAGGCTATAGAAAATATAAGGGGTCATTATCATGAATGCTGTTATAGTCCTACCATCCATCCTGTTGATAATTCAACCATTTTAACAGTAGCAGGCTTGCTCAGAGTTTGGGTCGTGAAGTATCCTGTTAGAAACCAGTACTGATGCCAAATGAGCAAATCTTTTTCTACCTTCTCTATTTGCCACATAGTATAAGGCACTCATATTTTATTAGCACATATTAATTGGACAAAGTGGGGATTCATTGTGATTCTTCATATATTTGTATAGAAGACCAAGCACTTTTTCAAACATTGCAAATCTTGCAGAATCAATAGTATCAAAGCCCCTGCTAGAATTATAGCCAAGAGACCGTCACATACTTTAAAGGTGATACCTTTTAAAAATTATTTAAAATTATTTTTGAAGTATCATATTTGTTTTCCAATATACCTTGCATTTCAATAGTATGCATTCAAGACTGTACTCAAGCTTCATTTCTTTTAGGATTATGCATGTGCTCTTAAAATGGAGCAGCAGAAGTGCTAATAGAAAATTATAAAATAGTAAATTAAGTAGATAGTAATCTAATAATTCACTGATTTTGTTTTCTATATGAAATATACAGAACTGAGTAATATTTAGGTTGGTTCTCTATTAATGAGCTGAATCTTACTATGGACACGGGCAAATACATGATACCTATATTCTTTTGTATACACATTTTATTCCGAGTGCTAATAATTACAATTCTTACTTCATTTACATCTAGTAGTACTTCTTTAATATTTAAAATTAAATTCGTGCTTCTTTTTGCTTAGCCGAGAACTTTTAGTTATCTCACTGTTCATCAAAAATGTAGGCTGTAAAGCTAATGATTAGGAGAAATTTTACTCTGCCCCCTATTGCCACTCCTTCTCTTTTTAAAAAAGAATGGCAAAATGCCATTAGCTACGGATATTCAGCTGGGATTCAAGTTTGTCCCTAGCACTTCACCTGGCTCTTTTCTAAATTAGGTATAACCATCATTTCTCCTTTTCAGAGATGGAGTTATACATAGCAGTTATATATTCCTTGGAAACTTTCACCTTCAATGTATATACCTTGGATTTCATTGGACATTAAACTCAAGATGTTTAACAATTCATCTGTCACCCTCACTTTTCATTTGTTTTATTCATTTTTGTGCTTGAACAAGTGTTCAAGGACTTAAGAACTTGATACACTTGGCTTTAAACTATAGTGAAATAGTTTCAAAGTTTTTCTTGATGTCACCATTTAAAATACAGAAAAATGCATTTCTGATCCTTTATGGCGCATATTGACATAGTCAATACCTTCCTAAAATACAACTTCCACGTTATTTTCCTTAAAAATTTGTTCTTCTGTATAGACTCCCTTTACCCCAAGTAAATGACTTAAATCTTTGTTTTCCTATATAAAATATTGAAACAGAGAAAATGTGTCTTGTAATAATATATAAGCACTTTATGGAGACTTGACTTTCATTAGTAATATACATGGCATCTGATTTTGCCTTTAGCCATATATGTGCTGTTTGGTACTGGAAGAGGTGCCAGTGACCCTCCTGGCCGTGAGGGGGCAGTGCAGATCCGCCTGCTGCCAGCCCACCTAGTTGTCTAAGACAGAAATAACATTTTGGAATCAATTTCTTAAGAAATGATATGCTTTGGGTGGTTGCCAGTGTAAGACATCCCCCCCTTTTTTTTGGTGGGGCTGGGATTGAACCCTTAGTAGGCTCTGAGCTGCATCCCCAATCCAGAACATTTTGGTTTTAAGCCCCCACGTCCGCCACCATTTTCTACCCTTTCTCTCTGCATTTAATTGAATCTCAAATATAAATTATTTTGATATTGCTTAGTGCTTATCTGAGTAAAGCTTAAAACATCAATCTGTAAAGATCGGTGTTGATAATATCACTTTTTCCCTTCCTATATCACATTTATTTAAAGGGAAGAAATTCTCTAAGCATTTTGTTTTTGTAGTTGAAAGATACCATGCAGGATTGAAATCTTGAAGCAATTTTTGGAGGTATGGGGTAAAGGATTAAGGATTATTTGCAATAAATAGTATAGGTCTAGGATAATATTATCAGATGAGCAGAAAAGCTCAAAAGCTAATGCACATATGACCACATAAGATGATGCTAAGCGAAATGAACCCCAAGATATGGACACTATGTTTTTCTTTGTTGTGGTTGTTTTTTTTTAATATACTATGCAATTATTTTGTTTCCTTTTTGGTATTTCCCCCTATGATATATCCCCTCTTGTCACTGTATTTGATTTTGGTACCCTGCATCTTGTATATACATTTATCTAATTTGGGAAATGGAAGAACAAAATGGTGAAATAAGGACATTGCAACAATGATACTCAGAAGTTGAGGTGGGGGGAAGTGAGAGAGGGAAGGGATAGTAGGAGAAAAACAAAGGAGGGGGGGTAACAATGCTCTACAAGAAATGTACTCATTACCTTACTCATGTAACTGTAACCCCTCTGTACAGAATCCTTACAATAAAACAAAATTAAAAAAAAGAATTCTCAAATTAATGAACCATGTGAATTGAAAAGAATGATTTAAAGATATTATCTGATAATATCACAAAGAAATAAATTTCTGTGGCAGTGACATTTCAAAACTAGCCAGTAAACCTCTTGGTACATTCGGCAGTACCTAGTGAACCCTCCAGCCATCTGCTTTTTTGGGCCAGGAAGTTGCCTCAGTCAAGCCTGGGGTTTTGGTCACTAGTAAGCACTCTATACACCTGTCAAGGCGCTTTTTTCTGAAACTCAGCCACAAATTCCAAGAGTTTCTTGTTTCTTCTGAGCAATGTTAATTTGGGGATTTTTATAGAGATCAGTGGGGTTATTTGTTCAGTATAAAGAAAGACCAAGCTAGACTCAAAGAAGGTAAGCTTCATAGTGTTTTCAGTAAACCTCTTTCTGTAGTAGGAGCTCTTAACCATAAACATGTGAAAGAAAAATGGAAGGGCTTTGCTCCAAAGCACCGCTTTGGGAATGCCTAATTCGTTGCTTTGTAAAACAGGTTGCAATAATGTTGAAAGGCTCCATCAACTCTATTCTCTCCATGCTACAAAGGCTTTGCTTGCTATGTATTTAGCATTGTTAGGTAAATGCTAATCACTTCTCCCTCTATGAATCAAAGCTGTACACAAAAGAGCTCAAAGAAATCTTGACACTGCCTCTTTGCAGCCTGAAGTTTTAGTGGGAGGCTTACAGACTGTTATCATTTTTCCTAGATTACTTTTCTTCTTTAGACAGAGGCTAAGCTTGGGAAGGAAAGTCTGTCAAATGGGACATTTATATCTACCTACTAAAAATATGTATCATGAAATATGGAGAAAATACATAATCTGAAGATTTTTCTTGCCAATATGTTTATGTATTTTTAAAAAAATTCTGAAATTGATGCAGAACATCTTTTAATGCCATAAATTCAGCTGTGAGCTGAATCCTTTCAAAGAGACAATATACTTGAA